GAAAAAATATTTTGATGGTGCTGGATTTTGATATGCTTGCTATGATACTTAGGACTAGAAAGGCCTTAAGACATTCCTGGCAAAGAGAATTGGCTTAGATTGATTTAGCTAAGCCAATAGGTTGGCTTCCTAAGGGTCAGGTGATTATTTCTGACTCAATTAACTGTGGTGGTGGTGATGCTAGTGAATCAGTTAATTGGGTCTTTTTTCTTTTATGGGAGCCCAGTGATGTTTCTCTTGAATTAAACCTACCCTGTTGGGCAGCCCAGGTGGCTCAGCGGTTTAGTACCACCTTCAGTCCAGGGCGTGATCCTGGAGACCTGGGATTGAGTCCCGCATTGGGCTCCCTGCATGGAGCCTGCTTCTCCCTCTGCTTCTCCCTCTGCCTCTCTCTCTGTGTCTCTCATGAATAAATAAATAACATCTTAAAAAAAAAAACCTACCCTGTTAAGATGCATATATAAATGACCTCATGGCTAGGAGGGACAGATAATTGTGAGTTGTTTAGGGATTTTTGTTTCTCATCTAACTAAATTCTTCTCATGGCTAATGACTTCTGGCTTACTCATCCATGCCCATGGCTCTAATTACTAATTGTGATGACTTCCACACACAGTAGCTTCATAATCTCTCATCTGACTTCAAAGCAGCCTGAGAGAGTCACCTTCTGGGTATTTCCATCATGAGATCCCTGGCACTGCAAATTTAAAAAGCTCCAAGTGAATCCAGAAATGATTCATAAATTTTCTATAAACCTGTATCATCCACACCCACCTTTATTTCCAATCTTAGTGAGTGGCATATTATCCAGCTGCCAGAACCAGACTCCTGGGAGCATTCTTGGCTCCTCCCTTTTGTCCCATATCCAATCACTCACCAAGTCCATTTGATTTTGCTTTGTTGATTCTGGGGCTGAACTGCCTGGTGTTAGAGGAAGTAATTGAGAGAATGTGTTCACCAGTTGACCATGAGCTGGACCTGGGTAATTTGAGGCTCCTCATCCACTCCCCAGTCCTTAGAATGTACACTCTGCTCACTGTTCCCACAGTGGGAGTCATTTCAAGGACATAGCCTTGAGAAGGTAAGGTGTTGTTGAGACCATCTGGACAGTATACATGACTGAATGCAGTTACGGCCTCTATATAAACTTTCAAGATTCTGGTGGGCAGGTGTGGAGATCTATTCATCTTGCAATCACTGGAGATAAGTCTTGTATGTAAGGTCCCTTGCTTATTAAACCTGCCACCTGCGAATCAGAAGTGGTCTGCCTCTTCCTTTGGTCTCTCTTTGTCCTCTATGTAAGGGGGCCAATTTGTGAAATAGATTTGAGTCTTTTTTTGGTAATAAATTTGAATCTTAATCCTGCAACTTCCTAGTTGTGTATATGTATAAAAGAGAGAGGGATTGTTGTGGTTGTGTTTCATGACTCTGTATCATTGTGCAATAAGAACAATTGCTTATTTTTAAAAATATTTTATTTATTTATTGGAGAGAGAATGAGAGTGAGAGATATCAGAGGCAGCCTGACACCAGGCTCGATCCCAGGGCCCTGAGATCATGACCCATGCCAAGGCAGATGCTAAACAGATTAGGCCACCCAGACACCCCAAGAACAATTGTTTCTAACCAGTGTTCAGTTCCTGGGCCACTTGGCCATTGTGTCCACCTACTGGGCAGGTTTATGAAGGTTGGCCGTAGTGCCTGAAAATATGGGGCAACATGGGGCTTTAGAATAGTTGTGTTTTTTCACTGTTGATATTTTATTAATTTTTTCTACTTGGTTTGAAAAATACATATGGGAGTACACAATTTTCTTTTTGCTTCAGGCTCTGATAGAACACTGGACAGAGGTGATAAAACTGGTGATAAACCTGGCCGATGGGGTGGAGGTATGGTATAAGCAAGAGGGAGAATCAGAGACGCTTCTAGGTTTGGACCCGAGCAACTGGATAAAGGGTGGTGTCGATAATCTGATGGGTGACCTTGGGAGAGAAGAGACCTGGTACATAAAAATCCAGAGTCCTGGGATGCCTGGATGGCTCAGCTGTTAAGTGTCTGCCTTCAGCTCAGGGTATGGTCCTGGAGTCCTGGGATCGAGGCTCACATCGGTCTCCCTGTGTGGAGCCTGCTTCTTTCTCCCTCTGCCTCTCTCTGTGTGTCTGTCATGAATAAATAAATAAAATCTTAAAAAAAAACCAAAACAAAACCCAAAGTCCTGTTTAGAATAAATCAAGTTTGAGATGCCAGTTAGATATCCCCATTGGCGTTATCAAATAAGCAGTTAGATATTCAAATTCTTTAGACCTTTAGGAATCTCCGTTTCTGTCTACTTGGCTCTCTATTCTTTCTGCTGACCAGCAAAGGTCTTAGAGCTCATTTCTCAGTGACTTTGGCATCATGGTTTTGGGTGCCCTAGTTCTGATCTGGGCTACAAGCTCACCACTCAGTACCCACTGTCTGACTCATTCCAATGGCCCAGTTTCAAATACTGTGGAGAGAGCTTGTGACAGCCCACCCAGGGGCAGGTGTTCTCCAAAGATTCAATCTCCTGTGGTTGACTTCACAGAGTATGCAGGCTGCTGCTCTGGGCTGAGCACAGGGTGGGACAGGAAGGGTGGATGTAGCAGGCAAATTTAATGACGTTTCCTTGGGAATCCATTTCTGAACCTCAGGGAAAAGGCTGACTGTCCTTCCTGTATGCTCCTACGGTACCCAGAGCTTTGTCCCTTCATAAGCGGTATTGTAACGGCCTGATTTCTTGTCTGTTTCCCTTACTGCAGTAAGGGAATATCCTTTAGGTCAGCTTTTTAATTTTTCAGATGAGAAAACGAAGTCCCAGAGAGGATGAAGATGACTTAAGATTCCTAATACTTCCAGTCCTTGTTTTACTACATAAAGTTGCTTTCTGTTTAAAGTGATTATTCTTAACTTTTTCAAGGACCTAATACAAAAGAAATCTATTGAGAACCATAGATCTTCTCTCTGGGGGTAAAAATGTACATAGGTATATAAACAACTTATTCCTGTGAAGTCCAGTGATTCTTGTTTAGAACCCAAGGATCAAAGGAAAAGAGAATGAGTGGCCAAGAAGAGTGAGCTTTAGGCATAGATGCAAATACATTCTCAACTGGGTATGTTACCTGATTTTCTGAAAGACAGTAAATATCTTACAGAGTTTTTGTAAGAGTAGTGGAAAAAAATCTAAGTGGTATACATAGGAGGTAGTCAATAAACATTGGTCACATTTCAAAAGATAAGGGATTTTAGGACTTCTCAAAGCACTCAACAAAGAACATTTATCTATCTATCTATCATCTATCTATCTGTCTATCATCTATCTATCTATCTATCTATCTATCTATCTATCTATCTATCTATCTGACAAGCTTTTTTAGCAGAGGCTGTCAAGACGGTACACAGGAAACTAAACACAACAGGTGTAGCTTGGTTTTACCTTGGAGCATCCAGGTCAACAGAATGAGTGTGATTTCTTGGTGACTGAGAGAAAGAAGAAGGTTAAGGGCAAAGAGGCCTCAAGGGGGATGAGTCTGTGAAAAACTATGAACACCAGATGTGTAAAAGGAAAGCTTAAGGAACAGGGCATTTGAATAGTCTACTTCCTTCATTTAATATTTCAATTTCCATCATAGGAGGAAGGAAGGAATCAACCCTAGTCATTGTGCTGATACCATACCTCTGCTCACCCAGACAGCCCATGGCTGAATTTAGCTTCATTTGCTCAAGCTTCCCAGCAGGAGACATTTAGATCTGGCCACTGAAATTGCTGGCAGCAGACTCATCAGGACAGGAAGGAAATCACTGCTCTAGTTTTGCAAATTGACTACTCAGTGAGAGACCAAATCTGGAGATCCCAGTGAGGTTTGGAGTCCCCCTTTCTAATATAAAAATGGTAGTGGCTGGGGCTCCAGACTTGTTGGGTGGAAGCTTTTTGTAACGAAAAAAGGTGTCCAATCCTGCTTGCACATTACCTTGAGGCGCGTGTATGTGTGTGTGTAAATGAACTCAGACACCATCTTTCTACCTTAGATGGGGGCAATGCACACCCGTTGCGGGGCGCAGAGAAGGGTCACTCAGTGAATGACAACGATGAGGCTGATGGTGATGATTTTTTTTCCTTGCTCCCTTTTTCCATCTTCCATTCGCTCTTTTCCTTGGGGCAACAAGAAAAGTGAAAATCTTATGAAATCCCTTCTCTCCTAAAGAAGATTAAGCTAATGGGAGGCTGCCAGAGTATGGGAACCTTGATTCCCGCCCCCCCTCCCCCCCAAACTCTAAAGCTTAACTTAAAAGACAGCTGCATCCTCTCCACCAAGGGCCATCCCTGCCCCTGTTGCCAAAGCCACCTGACCTGTCCCAGGAGTGCTTGGCAGCCTTTGGGAGGGAGTCCCGGGGAAGGGGCCTCGGGGCAGGGGGGAGGGGCAGGTGCTTCCAGCAGGCAGCTGCCTGGGAGGAGCGCCGCGAGGACCCCGCCGCCCGGGCCGGGCGCTCTCTGCTGCCCCCCGCGGAGGCGCCCGCGCCCCGGCCCCGGCCCCGGCCCCGGCCCCCCCAGCCGCTCCTCGGGAATGCTGGGAATGTGAGTCAGGGCCGCGGCGAGCAGGCGAGCGGGCGAGCGCGCCGAGCGGCCGGGCGGGGGGCCCCGCGGAGCGCAGCCCTGGCGGCGCGGCGCGGCGCGGGCGCGCGTCTCGGGACTGCGGCGGGCGCCGCCCCCTCGGCCGCCAGCCCCGCCCGGCCCCGCGCCCGGCCCCGGCCCCGGCCCCGCGCGCCTTGCCCTCCCTCCTCCCTCCTCCCTCCCTCCTCCCTCCCTCCCCCTCCCGCGCCGCTCCACCTCCCGCTCCTCCTCCCGCTGCTGCTCGCTGGGGCTCGGGCTCGGGCTCGGGCTCCGGCTCCGGCTCCGGCTCCGGCGCCGGCTCCGGCTCCTCCCGGCCGCCCGGGGCCAGGGCGACGTGAGGTTGTAAAAATCCATGTGGGACGGCCCCGGGGCGAGCATCGCAAAGGTGAGACGTCGACGCCGGGGCCGCGGCCGCCGGGCGCCGGGTTCCCGCGGGGCGCCCGAGCCGGGCATCCCTCGTGCCGGGTCCCCCTCACTCGTGGGGAGCTGCAATGCGTTATCGCGGGGGGCCGAGGGGTGAACCATCCGCCTCCCCCGGGGCTTTCGGAGCGGGGGGAAGGATGGGGCGGCCTAAGGGCGGATCTGCCTTGATGGAGAAACCCCCGGATTGGAACAAGTGCACGGCTTGCTCTGCGCGCGGTGGCCGCTCGCTCCCCGGCGGCCCGGGCCACCTCCCGCAGTCCCTCCCCGGCAGCCACCCTCACTGCCGTCGTCTTCCTTCTCCCCGGCTCCCCATCTTTCTCCTCCCGGCTTTTCCCCCCTCTTGCCTCGAGGGGTGGGGTGTTCGCAGGGGCAAGGGGCTCGGGAACCCCAAGCAGAACAAAGTGGAGAAAGGTGGAGCAGCCCTAGTGCAGGGGGGTGGGGTGCCTGGCTGCCTCGGTGGGCTCCGAGGGGACAGTGTTAAGAAAAAAGAAAAAAAAAATCCGTGTCAGGGAAAATGAAGCCGGCTTTATTGGGGGGGGGGGGTAGAGGGTGGTGGTGCATGAAAACGAAGGGATGTGGAATTAAACTGAACGATAGTCCTTTCGTGCCTCTCCCCTCCTCCGGATTATACAAGAAAAGGAGGGGGGGTACTTAGGAGGTGGTACTTAATTTTCTATTTTCATTTTTTAAAGAAAGACTTGGTGCGAGCCTTTTGAAAGATCATCTTAGGACGGTGAAGATTAAGGGCTGCTTGGTGCGGGATAATAAAACAGCGCTCATAAACTCTCGGGTCGGCCCGGCCTTATTTATTTTGTACTTAAGGGTCTCTGTTCTCTTGCCAGAGAGGGAGAGTCGGCTCTGTTCTGAGCGGATCGATTTTAGGCGGCTACCTGCCTTTGCTGGATGAAAGGCAATTTACTCCCGGAGTGGGGAATTGTCAGGTCCCTCCGTGATTGACAGTCACACCTGCCACTTATGTGGGCAGAACGGGGACCGGTAAAACCTCAAGAGCCAATCAACGCTCGGGAGAGGAGGGCAGCTCCCACTTGTCATGGTTAGTTTCCTGGTTGGCTTTTTAAATCAGTGGTTTTACTTAACCATTGGTTTCCACCAGGTATGAGGCTCCAGCTGTGAGAGGCAGACCAGCGGGGAGAAAACTCTTCGAAAATGGGCTTAGAAGCAAGTATGCTTGACTTGTGTTTGTTTCTTCTCTCCCCCTTCTCTTCTCACTAGTTGTAGTAGTTGGGGATGCTCAGGCCATTGGCTTAAAAATGAAAAGGAAATGGATCTGTATAAGAAATTCAGTGGTGAGGGGGCTCATTGGGGTTTAGAATCGTTCACCTATTTTTCTAGAATTGCAGGCTCCCTTCTAAGAGACACCATTTACTGTTGAGCTATTTGGGAAAAAGGGTGTGGCACTTTGTCTCCTATGGTCACTCTTGTCCTTGTAAAGTCACATTGTTTTCTCAGTATACAGTAGTACTTGCCTCTTGGCTCTATTAATGGATTTATAAGATATTTTTGAAGCAGACGAGCATACTTCGTTAGGACTGCCATAAATAGAAGGGGTTCTTTTAGTTTTTGACGGTGTAACAACTTCTGGAAGTGAGGATTTGCCTTCTTCACTTACAGTTTGGCTGTCAGTTTGGAGGTGGCAGTGGGGTCAAGCCAGATCCTTTCTGGAGGGTGGAAGAGTTTGCCTTTAAGGTGAGTTTGCTTCTAAGGTGAGCCATCTTGTCTTCTGCCTCTGTGCTTTAATAAAAGCCCTGCACAGTTTGGGAGGGCGGTGTGTGGATGGTGACGGAAGCATGGTTTCACCAGCAAGACTTTCATGGGTGGATGGAGTGTGGGCAGCAGGAAGGACCAGCTCCTCCTCAATTCTCTATAAGTGAAAGGCTTATTTTTTTTCAATGCCCTTCTTCCTGAATTCAGTAGAAAATTTACTGGTTGATCCTGTTACCTTATAGAAGCTGTATCTGGATGTGATAGAAAGCCGTGCATTCATTATTTTGTGAACAGATTGTGAGCCAGAATACACTGATTAGGATGGTTTTCATGTACCAGCCAGCTTTGTCAAGGTAGTATTATTACTATTATTATTATTATTGCTGTTGCATATGCTAGCACTTTGTGGAATATTTTACATACACTATCTTTCTAAAAACTTTCAGAGCTTCTGTAAGGTCGGGGTTATTATTATTTCCCCCAAATTACAGATAAGGAAGCTAAAAGGAATTATGTATCTTGCCACAGTTTAGTGTAAGAGTGAGCACTTGAGTCCAAATTTCTCCGACCCAGAGCCTTTGACCTTGGCTGTGGCCTTGAATTCAAATTTTGGTCCTGCTGTCTGTATGTGTCCATTCTGAAGTATGGACTCTCCCAGCACACATAGGGCCTATTCTGTTGAATCCATTGCGATGTTAATGGTCTTTGCACTGTGTGCCTTGCCACTCTGAAGGCCAAAGGCCATCACTTTACCATTAGACAAATATGGTAACCTTGTGTATTATATATTTCCTGTAAGTCAGCTTTTGGCCCAGTGGAAATTTGGTTCCAAAAGGAATGATGATTATTTAAAAGAAGGTAAAACAAAACAAAATCCGCACTATTCTACTTTTACTGATACCTTAAATTTCCAGCTGGAGTTCAGAATAGATATTGGTTGAATACATGCTCTTATCATTCAGTTGGCTTTTTTTTCCTTTTCCTAAGGGATTGGAATTTTATTTTCTCTTTCACTTATAAAGTGACTCCATTTCATTAGTGATTAAATATAATTGTATTTTAAATTATTCTACTGGAATAGTATGGCCCTCTTGTTTTATTATGTTGAAAAAGTCGTAAGACTTAAGCCTTATTGGTATCTTCCCATTGGTGAAATGCAGTGGTCATGGTTTGTCTAAACAGATATCCTCAAATATAAGGATATGGTGTTGGAATCCATAAATTTACCTCAACAGATAGTCTTTGACTTGGTTGAGGTTAACTTTGTGTAATCATCATCTTCTTTTCTTCTTCTTCTTCTTCTTCTTCTTCTTCTTCTTCGTTGTCTTCTTCTTCTTCTTCTTCTTCTTCTTCTTCTTCTTCTTTTTAACTAGGGACACCCTTTAACCCCTTTTATCAGCAAAGAAGTTAACATTTTGGCTGTTATATGAGAGACCTACTTGCCAGCCAATGGTTTAGTTTCTTTATTGTGACTTTCCTTATTTTGGAAAAATAGAACAAATGGAAAATGGAAAAGCACTGATATTAATGAAAATTGTAGGTCTTATATCTAAAACAGTTGATCCAAGGAGAAACATCATTGGGTGTACCAAAAGCAGGTTCTTCAATCTGTTCTTTCTTGTGTGAAGAAAAGGAACAAAGTGAATTAATATGTAAGAAATTCTAAAATACACCAATTGATAAAAGTTACATTAGTCAAGTTTTGCTGTGTATCGAAACTTCTTTACTTACAGCAACAGGTATTCATTTTCACACTCCTGAGTTTTTAGGTTGGCCATGATTTGGCTGATCTAGGCTGAGCTCCTGAGGTGGCTCTGCAATTGGCTGCATGTTTTGTTCTAGTCTGCTCCACATGTTTTCTGGGGCCCAGGAGGAAGGGATAGCAGCTGCTTGAGACATACCCCTCTCGTGGCAGATAACTGGATTTGATAGCTGAGTCAAACTGCACAAGCAATGTCATTTTCACAAAAAAACTTTTTGGACATGGCATATCCCATAGTGAAGATCAACATCCATGGGTAAAAGCAGACTCTGCCCATAGTAGAGGAGGGAATATTTGATGAACTATAATCAGAACTCCCACAACATGTAAAAAGTATGGTGTTTTAGAGAATTTTATGATTTTTTCTTTTTATTCTTGGGGAATACAGTCTTCATCTCCTCACTCCCACAACAAGCTTTATGACATATAAAGCTAGTAGTGTGTTTAACTTTTACAGTTCAGGAATATACCATGTTTGATTCTAGAAGATTGACTATAAATGTGGGTATGAATATGTACATGAATTACTTAAATTATCAAGGCACTGTTTATTAGAACCTACTGTGTTCCAAGAGACTATACTCAATGGAATAAGGAACACAGGAGTTTTTATCTGAAATGGGATCTGCCACCATAGAGCTTATTATTAGGAGTAGGTATCAGAAAGACTTCCTGGATGAAATGGCATTTTCCTGGACCTTGAAGCAGAGATAATGTTGGAGATATATAGAGAGCATTTAGATATTTATTAGTAAAAATGTAAGAAGAACATCTAGATATAATGAGCTATTTCTTTTGGCCAGAGGGTAAGATAGATGCATAATAATAATAACAATAGTAATTATAATAATAGCAGTAATTACAATTTGACTTCTATAGAGCTATTAACCACTGTGCTTCTCACTTTACATAAAATATATAATTTAATATTGGGATAGACAGTACTGATTGCTTATCCAATATTCATTCTCTCCTTTCTAACTAAAAGAACCCCAATTTTGTTTGAGATGGAAATAAGCCCATCTCACTTTCCAAGATGACCTTAACAGCCTAGAGTGGCCATGAGACTCAGGTCTTATAATGAATAAGTGGATGTTGTTGGTTGGGGGCTTTTCTTTTCTTTTTTTTAAGATTTTCTTTATTTATTTATGATAGACATAGAGAGAGAGAGACACAGGCAGAGGGAGAAGCAGGCTCCACGCCGGGAGCCCAAAGTGGGACTCGATCCTGGGACTCCAGGATCGCGCCCTTGGCCAAAGGCAGGTGCCAAACTGCTGAGCCACCCAGGGATTCCCAGTTGGGGGCTTTCTTGAAAGCTTAGTAAGGATGACACATTTGGCTATGATACCCCAACAGCTTTGGCCCCTTTCTGCTTCCTGCAGCTGGGAACCTGGGTGCAATGCCTGAAAGGCCCACAGCCAACCACAACGACAAAGATAGGACCATGTATTAAAAAATTCCAGCAAAGCTAGAACTTGGAAGGATCGTGATCTTGATGATGTTGTTGAGCCATAGTACCAGCCTAAACTGACTTCTCCCATACTTTTTTCTTTTTTTTAGGGGAGAGGGGCAGAGGGAAGAGAGAGAATCTTAAGCAGGCTCCATGCCCAGCATGGAGCCCAACGTGGGGCTAGATCCCAGAACCCTGAAATCATGACCTGAGCTGAAATCAAGACTGACTGAGCCACCCAGGTGCCCCCTCCCATACTTCTTATTGCATAAAACAAATAACCTCCTTACCTGCAAGCCACTATATGCTGCTTGTAGTCAAACATAATTCTCACTGTTACATTCTCTCAAGAGCCTTTCAAAGTAGATGCCATCATACCAATTTTATAGGAGAAAATATTGAAACTCAGGTTAAGGAATTTGCACAAGATCCAGGATTCATTACTATGCCACCATCTTGCCTTTGGCTGGGCAGGATCGAAGTACTACAGCAGAGATAATGTTGGAAAAGTAGGTTAGGGGAAAATTGAGGGGGTAACTGGATTCCAGGTTGAAAAGTTTTGAGTTTTATTTCATGGGCTATATACAATGATTTGAAAAAGCCAGAGACTGGAGGTTAGAAGACCATTGAGGTTTAAGTATGTGATACCTAATGCTTTAGTGTGAATGAAAGTGGAAGAAAAGCTGGGTACAGAGCAGAGCTGGGAACATGAGAAGAGAATGGAATTGAGTGAATGCAAATCATAGCTGGCTGTTACCTGTAATCTTCTGAGAACAAAATGAAAGTCTCCTGAAGGTTAGTATTAACTTCTACTAATGGCTTCACATTTGCCAGGAAGTAAGGAATGAGTAATATAGAGAATTGCTAATGGGATGTGAATCATTATTTAGTGCAGTAGGGTGGGCACCACTTATCATCCATACCATTTATTGTGTGACATGATTTTGGTCTGGGTCTGGCTCTGGCTCTGTTGTGCCACTTAAAGGGAACAGAAATGAAGAGTAAGACCAGAGGGTGGTGCAACGGTACAACAAATCTGTCAAAGGACATCTGCTAAACATTCTGGAGCTTTCCTGGAGGTGGGGTGGGGTCACTTTAACTTCCTGGGCCGCCCATTTTTCCCCTCTTTCTACTTTTTAAATCTAAAACAAAAGATTTGGTTTACATTAGTGGTTTTCAAATGTTTTTCAGCTGTAGAAACTTTTTTGTCTTTCCTAAATAAAAACTTATCTGGACCCTCAGTACAGTTAGAGAGAAAAAAAAAGAAAAAAGCAGAGTTGCTCTGAAAATTCAGAGTCCAGGTTTATGTTGTTTGAGACTCCTTCATATTGAGGTCACTGTTTTCAAATGATGCCTATACACCCTCCCAGGTCTAGGATTTGAAAGCCTTAGAGCTATGTAGTTGTTTTATTGGAGCATCCTCTTTAATAAATCCCTTTGCTATTCCACAGTTTGTTAGTCTTGTATCACCTGTGGTAGAGATTGTTCATGTTCTCCCCAGCTACTTTTCTCTCCTAGGTGTATATTGGAAGTGACTTGTGTCATGTCTATGCTAAAATATTTAATTTACAGTGTGAGACCATCCAGTGCTCACTTCTGCTGTGATGGTCATGGAAGCAGGTGTTGAGATGGAGCTTCCATCTAACTGGGTCCTTGAGTCACTAAATGAGCAATTGGAATGGGACATATAATGTGACCAATATATAAACCTTTGTTGTTTTAAACCATTGAGGTTTTATGATTGTTTGTTTATGTGGTACTTTTTTTTTT